TATTAAATTTATTTAAATCTTATTCTAGTTTTCTTATTAATTATTTTTTATTTCCTTTTTGTTTGATTTATTTTACTCGAAATTACAAGTTTATCCTTTTAATTAATGAAAAATTAGATGAAATTCACACAAATCTTATTCTAGTTTTCTTAGTAATCTTATTCTAGTTTGCTAAATTTACCATTTAATTAATTCAGTTGTTAAATTTGCTTACTTTCTAGTTCAGGGGATTAAGTTCGATTGGGATCCTAGTTCGGAGTTGTGTACAACAATTTACTCTAAATTAATTTATTTTATTTTAAATGAAACTGAATTATTATCCGATTGAATTTGTTAAATAAATTATTTTCATATTCGAATTAGATTTGGATCAAAATTTGATGCATTGAGAGGTAAGTCTCTAGTTTGATTGAGTTGCAATGCAAGGGTCACAGGATAAACCTAGAATGTGATATGCCACTTGAGACTTGGACCATTACTTGTGCTGGACAGACCAAATTCTGGACTTTTTATATACATATAATTGGTCACAGGAACATCAGATAGCGTTGTTAAGCCTTCAACTCTGAAGATCAAACATTTGAGAAGATAAGGAGTGATGTGATGAATAGGCGGACCTGGCATTCGTGTCGTTTTATCAGTGTTCGTGTGAACCCGTTTTTCTTAACGGGTTGACACGACATGACACGATAAGAAAAGGGGTTGAAAATGTTGAACACGAACATGACCCGTTACGATTCGCGAATCACACGACACAACACGATAATCCGTTAAGAATTTAAAAAAAATTAAAAACAAAAACATAAATTTTAAACAATTAAAAAATCACCAATGCCCAAAAAAAAATAATACAAATTTATAAATAAACCCAATCCTAGACATGTATTTATAAAAAAACCCAAGCACTATTTAAACATAGAAACACACCCAAAATCAATCCAAAAATCAACAATTATATATTTTTTTGGTGTGTTTATAAATGAATTTTGAGTGTGTGTAATGATGGGTTTTGAGTGTGTTTATAAAGTGTTTTGGATGTTGGGTTTTTTTTATAATTTCAGCCCTCATTTTGGGTGTTTTAGTGAAACTACCAAAAAAAAAATCAACATAAGCCATAGACAAGCTCGAAGGGGGAGGAAGAGTCATCGGAGAAGGTGAGGGAATAGGTGGGATAAGGATTGATCGGTGAGGGAGGGAGACAGAAGGGGGAGGTGGCTGGGATGGTTCATGGTGGTTGGGTGGTGTGGTGGCTGCTTAAGACTCAAGTTGAGAGAAGAAGAACCCAGGTTGCTGGGTTTTGAAGAGAGAGAGAGATGGGGTAGTGAGAGAATCGGTGGAATGGGGGTGGAAGAGACAAAAGAGAAGAAAGGGAAGAAGAAAAAAAAAGAAAAAAGAAAGAGATAAATTTACAAAAATGCCCCTGAGCTTAACGGGTTAGTGGGTATTCGCGAATTTACACGACACGACACGATAGCAACACGACACTATAACACGGACCCAAATACTGAATTTTTTTTTGCGAATTCATATCGTGTTATCGTGTCGTGTATGATATTGTCAGGTCTAGGCCCTTTTGCTTCTATTTTTCCCTTCACTGCTATGTTTTTTATTTATTAAATAAAAATCTACTATCATGTGAAAAATACACTCTAGATGCAGCAACAAACGAAAAGGACACTTCGGTGAGTGATAAATCAAATTTCAATATAAAGCCAAGTAATAGGCATATGAATATATTATCCCAATAGTCACAATATTCATCGCCTCTGCTGATAAATCAAAATTTCAATATAAAAGCAGTACAGGTAATAGGCATGTGAATATGTTATCCCAATAGTCACGATATTCATTCCCTATGTTAGGAATAGCATACAATCTGAGATCAGGATTGGGATTCGCAGGCAAGACAGAACTTACTTGCATGGAACATGGCATATACAGATCAAAAACAGATTATTACTTGGTCCCTCATTGATACAAATATCATCCTTGTCTTAATCTTTCATGAATAAGTATATCACATGCAAGCGGCTGACCAGGTAAACAACAACTAGAATGATACATGTACAGGCCTTGTGCACCTTCTGCACCGAACAACACTGGCCTTGTCATTCCTCTGACATTGATGGCACATCAAAGACACCTCCTCAACAAACTGTTAGACCCAAATTTTTAAAAAAATCACTTATCACCTCAAATAATCAACACCAAACAGGCAGTTAATATTGCTTAAGCCATACATATGGTTGTTAAGTAACTCTTTTCATCAATGCAAGAAACCAAGTTGTGGTTAAGGCAGAAAGACAATAAATTTCATATTTCATTGGATTAGAGCGTCTACAATCATGCTCTCTATTTTTTAGTTAAAAATATAGCTAAAACACACAAAAGTTATTTTAGGAGCTCTCTATAAAATTTGAAATCCAATCAAAAGTCATAGATACTATAATTATTTTTGGATTCAATATAATTACTTCATCTCTATATAAAATTAATTAATATTAATTAAAAGTTTAAAATATACATAAAACAAAGCAACAATAAATTATAGAAAGTCCATTGTAGATGCTCTTATATCAAAATTACAGTACAAGACTAGTCAAGATGACTTTGAGGAATTTAAATTTGGCATCCATATCTGCCCGGAGTGTTGAACCCTTCAAGATAGTAACATACGGTTTTTCTAATCTGGGTTGAGCAGTGGTGGTGATCTGTTTTTGTAGCTCCCAGGATTTTTTGAGATTGGTTTGAAGTTGAAGATGCACCTCTTTTTCCTTATTTCTGATAGTTTTGAGGTCTGTTTGCAGTTTAGCAATCTGAGCCTCTACCTCTTGAGCTTGGTTTCTCAGACCTTGCAATTCTAAGTTTTGAGCAGAACACTGAGATCTGCTTTTCTGTAGATGTTCAATAGAGGTATGCATTGTCTCCCACTTATCTGCAGCTTGTTTGAATTCTTGAGCTGAGACAAGTCCAGAATGATAAACAGATCGAGGAACGAGACGCTCTTCATCCAAGACTTGCAAATGGGATATTAATTCCCCCACTATTTGATGACCTTCTTCGACAGAGAAATCTTTATTTTGCCATTGCTTGATACGTGAGATGGCTTGCTGGACTCTCGAACTTGGTCTTGGTGGCACATTGAAGCCAGAGTTGAGGTCTCTGCAGTTGTAAATAGGAGTGACCGAAGAATTAAACACTTTACTCTGGCAGACAAGACACTCCTCCTTTTGAGAGCTGTAACTGTACAAACAAGGCCTGCAATACAAATGCCCACAAGCAGTCACAACTGGCTCTCTTGCCATTTTCATGCACATGTTGCACTCAAAGTAAGATGCAGATCTTGGTGGGGACAATGGCTCTGTAAAATAGGACTCATCATCTTGATGTTGATGAAGGGTTGGATTTAAACCATCTAGAGACACAGTATAATCATCGCTTTTGGGGCTGTCATGTACATGGGTTGTACATGAATTATTTGAAGGCTTTCTTTTCCTGAAAAGTTGATCAAATTGGTCAAGGAGTGAGGAAACACCATCTTCATCATCATCATCATCATCATACTCCTTCTCCTCCTCAAAATAATAATCATCATCCATATTTTCGTACCAATCGGATTTTGGTTTGGTGAAGAGGAAAAACTCAAGGGAGGATATGGAAGGCATTATCAGTGACTCGATTGGTTTTCTAATTTCATTGTTGGAAGCCATGGATATAGAAGCAAAACAACAAAATTGAACACCGAGAAGCCTTAGAAGATCGAACTCAACAAGAAGAGAAATAAGATTGGGTTTTTATTCTAAAGAGACCTATGTATATATAGGGGAGAGACTTCAGAATCTAAACCAAATACGATTAGAATTAGAATTGGGATTAGGATTAGGATTAGGACTAGGACTTGGACTAGGACTAGGATTTCTTGGTTTACAAGTCTCCAAATCCGATTGACAAGTGACAGCTTTTTTTCTCTTTTTTTTTTAAAAAAAAAGAAGAAAAATAGAATCCCATATGTAGTAGGATTTTCTTGGTTCATAAGTTCCCAAATCCAACTTGATGATTCTTTAAAGAAAACTTTATTTACGCAATATTGTTATTTACTCTAAAATTTGCTGCACAATCATGCTCTCTATTTTGTAGTTAAATTTTAGCTAAACACATGTAAAAGTTATTTTAGGAGCTTTCTATAAAATTTAAACTTGAATCATACTCTCTAGTTTTGGGAGTCATAAATGTTATAACTCTTTTTTAATTAGTCAATCTCTATTAAAATAAAAAATAAAAAATAGTTAGCATTAATTAAAGGTTTGAAATACACATTAAATAAAGCAGCATTAAATTATAGGGAGCCACTAAGAGTCATTTCTCTCTCCTCATATTTAAGAACTCCTAAAGATCTCCCTATTTTACAAGATGGATAGGAAGCATATTTGGAGTTGTATTTTTCGAATTCCTCTCTAAAATTTGTCTAAGAAGATGATTTAGAGAGCCCATTGTGAATGCTCTTACATACTCATATTTTTTTAAAACAGAATTTTCGCTTAGATATATATATATATATATATATAAATATTTGTGTAACAAGCATGTAACTTCAGCAGCCGAGATTTTTTGTTTGATTCCTCTATTTTTATCTGTAATATAAATACATCAACCCAGGCATTCGTGTAGCTAATAAATGATCATACCTTAGTCAATCTGAAGGCAAATGATACTGTCTCTTATAGAAATATTACATCAACTCAAGCATTCGTTGAAACATTTTGGGTACCACTAGGAGGGAAAAAACCAAAAGCAATATAACTTGAATCGATTCTAACAACTCAACCCAATCAAACTTTAGAATGTTTCTAACTATAAGGAACACAGAATAAGTAAAAAAATATCAAGAGGAGAAAATAAACACTAGGAGCCTATAAAGCATCTTAAACCACAAATCAGCGGCATAAGCAAAACCATAGTTACCCCATAAGACAGATAAGACTGACGAAACAGAGACTGCCTCACTGCTGGGCGCATTGCACCCGTGGCATTGGCTCATCGTCGTCATCATCTTCATCATACGCCTCCCGATACTGCTGTCTTGGTTTACGTCTCATCTCATCCTCAATGTTGACATCATGCATGGTGGTTTCTTCACACTCATCCAGCTCCATGTCAGTCAAATGCTTGCTTGGCTTGGGGGATAGTACTGTCTGTAAATTTCGGGATTGATCAGGAGAAAGAATCCCAGAGTCTGGAAACTCTACATTGAAATGGATGAAAAGGTTGCCCTTCATGAATGGCCTCTGGTAATGTGGCATGCCCTCGTCATTGATTGCTTTTGATTGACCTGCATTCGAAAAAATTAGGTTATCCCTGAATGACAATATTCAAGCCATGCATATAATAAGGCAAGGGAAATTACCAGGCTTGATGACTTCCCCAGGATTTGATTTGACCAGAAGCTGCCTGCCATCAAGATGGGTCAACACAAACTGAAACCCACAAAGGGCCGCAGTCAAATTGAGAGTGTGCTCTACATAAAGATCATCAAGCTTTCGCTTGAACTTGGCATGCTCCTTGAGTTGCAATACAAAAACAATGTCTCCTGTAATTGTATCCGGCTGCATACAATATATAACAAATTAATAAACAAAAATTTCACTCAAGAAAAATATTAAAGAAACATTAGAAATTTAAGGCAGGAAATTAAAATGGTCAAAGACATAATGCTGTTTTGAAGACAAAGCTTTATAGGAAGACTGAAGTTGAATGACAAGAAAGAAACTAAACTGGTCAAAGACATAATGCTGCCACCTCTTTCAATGAAGATGACAGAATGCTCAAACCACAAGGAGCAGGATGAATTTAGAACTTCGGATATGAAAAATCTAACTTACAGCTTCATCAGCCTGTCCCTCAAACACAATTTTCTGGCCATGCTCCATCCCTTTCTCCACATGCACATCCATAACCTTCTTTTCCTGAGTAACCTTGTTCCCTTTGCACGGTGGGCACTTATCTCTCTCACTGATGACCTCACCTGTGACATTGACAGATGTCTTTTAAGGACAAAAACAAAACATAAAGCTAAAGTGAGACAAACAAAACATGCCCTTCAGTTAAATACCTGAGCCTTGGCATTCAGGGCAGACATGTTGCATCTGTTGAATCATTCCCAATCCAATCGACCGTGTTGTAATCTTCATTCCAGTACCCTGGCATCCATAACATCTCCCTGATGTTCCGCTCTTTGAGCCTTTCCTGAAAATTAAGGGAAGTAGGTTAAACACCCTAGTCATGCCCAAGAACTAGTTTATTCCTGTAAAAGCAGTATCTGTTCTTGTTGATAAAGTCAACTTTGCATATCTAACTGATAAGACACAGCCAAGGTACCTTACTTATACTATAAATTGTTGGCAACTATTGTCCAGTGAATGCCATTTTTTCGGTTATGCACTTGTTCTGTGTATGCTAAGCATCCTGTGTGCAATTGGGACCAGAGATTGCACAAGATGTAACAAATGTGAGACCATCATATTCTTAAACATAAGAACAGCCGGAAGTTGAGAGTACTGAGTTTAACACATAAGGTTCCCCAAGAAAAATGCTTGTTGAGGGTAGCAATCAGATTAAACAAAAAACAGTAAAGAACATCACATGACTGTAATTAAGCCACAAAATATTCACAGAGAGAGAGAGTTTCTTTGTTAAATACAGGTAAACAGAGTGGCAGGCATACCCTTTACATTTCAGACACAAAATATTCCTAGAGAGAGAGAGTTTCTTTGTTGTTCCATTATACAAGTCCTCCAAAGAAACCCTTAAGGTATGCACCACATCTTCACCTTGCTTCTGCCTCCTTACATGTGAACGATAGCCTGCAAAATCAGAACATCCACAACACAATAATCATAAAATAACATGTTCACAAGATAATAAGGAAAATATATATATATACCAAAGATAAAAGGTCAATGAGTAGAAATCATCGAGCTAGCACTCACGGGGATTCAGAAATGCTTCAAATAAATCAAATGGATTATGTGAGGTACTACCACCTCCCGCTCCCTCTTTAAGACCATCTTCACCATATTGGTCATAGATTTCTCTCTTTTCCGGATCACTGAGAACTTCATAAGCTTGAGCTAATTCCTTGAACTGATTCACGATCAAGCAGAATAAGGTAAAACTGAGGAGAAATAATTACACTAAAAAAAGGAGCACAAGATCAAAACTGATGCCAATAACTGTTATGAAGCATAAGAAGTAATATTTCTGAAGTAGCTGATCACTAAAACCCCTTGACTTGAAAGTTACATGTTCAAATCATAGACTGCAAAACTAATGGAATAGAAGATTGAGAGTCAATAGATTGGCCACCAGAGCATCTCCCATAAAGACATAATAAGTTGCCAACAAACCAGTTCTTGAGATGGAAAAGGTAACTATAAATTTGAACACACAGACAATTTTTCCATAAATTTAGCCCACAGGTCAAGACAAAAATGTTTTAGTTGTATAAAGGTATCCCCAAATCAAAGACAATAAAATTTTAATTTGTCAAGGATTCATCGCAACAAAAAAAGAAAAAACCAATCACAAGAAGTTTTTCATTCCATACATTAATAAATAATTAGAAAGATTGTGGATAACAATTGCTCAATAACAAAAAAAAATGTAATGAAGAATACCCTTTTCTTTGAAAACAACAAAGAAAATCAGGTGAAGCTTTGAGAAAATGTGGTATAATTTTGACGGATTTCAAGATACCACATCCATTTATAAACAAATCAACATGTCAAGCCTTATGTCACCTGACACCAAGCCCATGAAGGTGGTCTAGGCCACATATTTGTGCCAAATATGGGATCCTTAATAGGGCAATTTTGGTTCCACACAACAGCATCCAATAGTGCCTCCACATGGCAATATGTCACATGCATATATGACACAAAACAAAGAAAGAGGAAGTGTTTTGGCCTACCTTCTCAGGATCTCCACCTTTGTCTGGATGATTCTTGATAGCAGCTTTCTTATATGCCTTCTTGAGCTCATCTGCACTTGAATTTTTTGAAACACCAAGAACCCCATAATACCTAGTGTTATCACTCTTCCTTGAAGCATGGCCAAACATGATTGTAGCACTTCAATACTGCTGCTACTGCATCAGGAGACAATTTGAAAATTAAACTCCACAAATATAAAAGGGTCAACTCCAAATTGGGAACTATATTATGTACAGGAATTCAGAATAAGTAACTGAAGATGGTTCCAACTAGTCGTAAAACCCAAAGATATAGATAGCCACACAAGCATACCATTAGATGTGCAAGGAAATGGCCACATGTATACAAGATGTGAAAGAATACAAGTGCAACATATAAATGCATTGCACAGAGAAGCTTGTACTCCAACACAAGTCAATACTGATTGCAGGCAGTCCACACAGGCACCCCATTGCCTAGTCAATACCAAAGTTACATTTACCCTTAGCTCCAATGGTTATCATAATAAGTTTTGGAACTCCAGACACCACCATCACCAAGCTCAGCCACTCACACAATCTCAAAGTCTGCTCTACCAAACCACATAATAAAGCATTTAAAACGAATGATGTGCATCCAACTCCATGATACACACAATCTACTTACCATATAAGAAAAATGCACCCCCTTTCTATGTCCAGTTCTGCCACTTGAAGAAAATGAAAAAACAAAAGACATGTAAAATGTGTTTGGCTGAGTAATATCAGAAACGGCAATTTGAAAAAGCGGATACAACTCTAAATATAAATTTCGAAAACAATATAAGGACTCTCTCTCTCTCTCTCTCCCCCTCCCTCCCTCCCTCCCTCTCCCCCTTCCGCTGTAGCCTTGTTCTTTCTTCATCTTTGGCAATATTGTTGTAGATTTTCCCCCACACATCACTCCAAACTCAATATTCCAGCAAAAGGGTCTCATTCCATCTATGTAGCACTATTCTTTCAGGTCAGCCCAAAGCATAATTCCATCCACTTTCCTGTCAAAGTGCCCCACAGGAAAACATGCAAAGGCCCTTTTGAATTCAGACCAGAAAAAAAGTTCACTTGTTAATCTGAAACTGTGTACTTCACCATTCTAAGCTGTTGGTTGAATTTACTGCAACTCCCTTGTTGCTCTTACATCAAAATGGAGCTTTTGTTTACAATGAGATTCCTTTTTCCTATCTTAATTAGCAAAGACCTGATTTTTCAATAAAGGTGCATTAGGTGTCACCTAATCCAAGAGTTGAGATAACCTAACAAAAGTAGACACATGCATCTTGATTTTCATTTATTTTCTTTTTCTTTACTGTGATGAATTTTCCTTACATGCTTTCATTATTTTTGTGTTTAAGAAACTGTTTTTGGATTTTGTTACCAAACGCATTCTCGAATCTTAAAAATACAAAATACAATTTCTTGTTTTCGTTTTGCAAAACATTTTTCGAAAATAGTTTTGTACAACTTTACCAGACGGACCCTAAAAACTGCTAATAAAGGACCCAATAGCTAATAACCCAAAAGAATCAGATCAAGCATAAATCTTATACCAAAAATGGATTTTGAAGTACACCCAATAAATCTCAAAACTTTGATACATCTCGTCTGCAATTGATCACGTTGCACAAGAACTACAAAATTACCACAAAATTACAACTACATATGAATCTACAAAGTCAAAAACTACAACTACAACTACAAAGAACTCGGCATCACAGATCAAAGAGCAATGAGAAATGGAAAAAAAAACAAACAGAAAATAAGTAGAGAGAGACGCAGTGATATTACCTTTTGCTAGGTCTGTAGAGAGAGAGAGTTTCAGTCTCTGAGAAGTAGAAAGAGAGACAGTGAGAGAAGAGAGACAGTGGATTCCCTCAGGTCTCTTCTTCTACCCACAATAGCGCTACGACGACTATAAGTCAAGAGGAAATTGCTATTTCCAGAGCTGAAGCTTTCGTGCGTGTAGCCAAAATGTGCCTGGAAATAGCCTTTCCATCGAGAAAGGGAAAAGGCGCCGGAAGCTTTCAAAGTTACCTGCAGGTGATGTTGTTGTTTTTTCTGGTATCCGATTGGCCCACGTCAGTGGACCCAAGTGACTATGAATTTCCATAGGTTGGAAAATAATAAATTTTTTTTTGTGGGGCCCATTCTTTCTTTTTTCTGTGGTATTTCGCAGATCACGGCCGTTCGTTTTGATGATCTGACGGCAGATATGATATCTCTTGAGTGCGTGTGAGTCGTTGTTTGCGTGAAAGGACGGACACGCCCGTGGCCGCTCTGTCGGGTCGTGTTTGACGGCTCAAAAGGGGCTACGACGTCGTTTTCATTGCTTTTTTTATTTCTGGGCCTTTGGCGCCTTTTGGGTCTTCCTTAATGCTTAAGCTTTGGGCCTTCACTCACATTGTCCATGTCCATAAAATGAAAAAGAACTAGCAGGCGCAAAGCCGCACCAAGATTTTATTGGTGTGTCTCAAACTCTGACAGACGTTGAAGTTTCGTTTTGTCTTTATGAGATTGGCATGTTCAAATAGTATAGGAAGTATTTGATAGAAATATTTTAGGGAGCTTCACTAATATACTCAAAATAGGGCATGAAATTATTAAAAAAAACCCACATGGATGATGGAATGCACTTTAGAAACACACCCAAAACTCATTTACTACATAAGAAATTGGTGTTGAAGTTCCTATAAATTACGTGACTGTCATTGATCAACTTAAAAGAAATCCAACACAAAAAACTTAAATGGCACTTAAAACAAGTCCAACCCAATTTTATAAAAAAACCCAAACAATTCATTACAAACAAAATGTCTTGAAAACCATAGCTTCATTAATGTGTCATGTTGATTAATGATTATAATGTTCCACACATTTATTGTCATGTTGATTAACGGTTGTAATGTTCCAATCCAGAGTAATAACACTGCTAGTTTACTGTGATGTTGATTAATAGCTGTAATGTTATAGTCTAGGGTAATAACACTACTAGTTTCCTATGACATCTTATTTCTAATGCATGTCTACTCATGTAATGTTCCAGTCTAGGGTAATAACACTACTAGTTTTCTATGATATCCTATTTCTAATTCATGTTTACCCCTTTAATGTTTCAGTTTAAGATAATAACACCGCTAGTTTCCTATGACATCCTATTTCTAATTCATGTCTACCCATGTAATGTTCCAGTATAGGGTAATAACACTGCTATTTTGTAATGTTCCAGTCTAGGGTAATAACATTGCTAGTTTATTGTCATGTTGATTAATGACTATAATGTTCCAGTATATAGTAATAACACTGCTAGTTTACTGTCATGTTGATTAATGGCTGTAATATTCCAGTCTATGATAATAACACTACTAGTTTCATATGACATCCTATTTCTAATGCATGTCTACCTAGTGTAATGTTCCAGTCTAGAGTAATAACACTACTATTTTCCTATGATATCCTATTTCTAAGGTAATAACACTACTAGTTTCCTATGACATCCTATTTCTAATGCATGTCTACCCATGTAATGTTCCAGTCTAGGGTAATAACACTGCTAATTTCTTATGACATCCTATTTCTAATGCATATCTACCCCATGTAATGTTCCAGTCCAAGGTAATAACACTGCTAGTTTACTATCATATTGATTAATGCTTGTCTTGTTGTTATTTCTAATATATGTTCACCAAAGAAAAGAAGAAAGAACAAACCAAACCAACTCAAAACAAGCCGAGCCCAGATTGTTAATATTATTACGTCATAAAAGTACATTGTTAATACTCTGTCATAGAAGTACATTGTTAAACAAAAATGAGATCTATAACTGAAATAGTAAGAAAGGATAAATCGATCATCAAAGCTTAAAATACTTTCGAAAATCAACTAAAATATGAAGAGAAACACATAATTGAAGCAAAAAATCAAAAATCTCAAGTCCAAACCAAACGACGACGACGACAATAAAGATGACGATGATGACAACAACAATGTGGTGAAAGAGGAGTAGAGCTATGAGCATCTGATTGAGGTTCGTTCAAGGTTCCAAACAATCCGGAAAAAAAAATCAATAGAAGCACGATTTTAGAACAAGAAATCGAAGGTGGAATATTGAAAATTGTAGATGAGAGATGAAGAATATAGTTGGACCTGAGATTGAGCTTCAATGGAAGCTCCTCTTGCTCCAACATCGAGAAAGCACCAGCGAGAAAGGAGAAAATAAATATGATTTGGGTTTTTTGGCAAATTTGGGTTTTTGGCAGATTTGGTTTTTTTGGCATATTTGATTTTTTTTCTCTCAAATCCATAGTACAAGGGCAATATAGGTATTTTACACACACAAATAAACTAAAAAATAGGTATTAAATTTAAAAAATTGACAGATGTCGATTTTTGGGGTTTTTTTGGGTGTGTTTATAGTTTTTAAATGGTATAGGGTTTCTTTATAAGACTATATTTAAGATTGGGTATATAACTAAATTTGTAAATATTTTATTCATCAAGAATGTTCAAAGATTGGCATGTTCCTTTCATTACATCTCCTTTACTCATGTCCCGCAAGAAGTTAATTTTGAAGTAAATATTCTAGTGTGTCGGAATTGTTGAAGAATATAAGTCATACATCAAAAACTTGACAAAGTAAAGTACAACATATAATAAATTGTTTTATCAAAAATAACATCGAGACCTCTTATGTAAAACTCTACAACTGCTGAATATGCAAGTGGTTAAGTAGGGGACAATATTAATGTTGGTAATAATGGGTCGTGGGTCTGTCCCTCCGAAATCTTCCAACTCACTAATAACATGTTTTGTATGTTTTGTGTGAGCCGCATTCATGCACATCAAATCTGAAACATTCTTTATTCAAGCGGAGACAACTTATCAAGTGAAGGAGAAAAAAAAATCCTTGGATTTGCCGATTAATTGCTATGCAGTAAGACATTTCTGCTTCTTTAATGACTCGTACTCTTTTTTGGCAAGACGTGTGACATGTTAGGCAGCAAGTTAAGCTCAATACTGTATTAACAAACATGAGAGGCTCAATTTACTAATAAGGTATATCATTTGCCAGGAGAGTTCACGAATTATATTTGTTGGCTGATGTCCCAATATAGAAA